AGGATCCCCCCCGACCTCCTAGATGCTTTATAGTTATGTTAAGGACTGAAAGGATCCCCCCGACCTCCTAGATGCTTTATAGTTATGTTAAGGACTGAAAGGATCCCCCCTGACCTCCTAGATGCTTTATAGTTATGTTAAGGACTGATAGGATCCCCCCTGACCTCCTTGATGCTTTATAGTTATGTTAAGGACTGATAGGATCAACCATTACTCAAACCCACGCAATTTTGAAAATACTTTAAGGTACTGTAAGTGTAATTTCAAGTAGCTCTCTTTACAAAAATAGCAATTGCTCGATTCACAACGGTACTCTTAACACTTTATCAGATCATTAATGAGGAAGATATTTTTTAGGTTTAGAAGTGTTTCGTTCTGTTTTTTACTATATGAATTCCTGCAGTAGAAATGCGCAAGTCACTTTTGTAGAGAAACAACAATCGAATACAATCAGTTTTCAAAATGATAAACATTGATATAATTCATACTTGTTCAGACAAAGTATTTAAGGGTACCGTTGTGAATCGGACAATGTCTTCTTTTAATTGAAGGCTACTTGAAATTACACTTCTATTCTCTAAATGTTAATGAAATACTACTGTAAACCTAGACAACCTAGAATTAATTTTCTATAAATCATAATTAACTAATGCAATGTGTGTATGCAGTTATTTAATGTGCAATTTAAATAAATTCAAAATTGTTTCCTGTTTCTTTAAACTTTAGGAACTTATGTTTGGGAAAATAAATAAAACAGTGAAAGGACAAAAATGCAGGTTTTTCGATTTAAAGTCGGCATGTAAATAATTTATTGTATTAATAACGCGTCGCACTTAGTTTTTGTAAGTAAACGCTTTCTGGAAACGAACAAAATTTGAAGTTACAGATGTATTAGAAAAATGACGAACGATGGAAGAATGACTTGAATCGTTCAAAGAAATGAAAAAACGATATTTTTTTTAAAAACAAACGCAAAAAACCAATTTAAAATTTAAAAACTAAATGAATGATTTTTCCCGAAGATTTTGAAAAAAAAAAATTTTACTGAACGAAAGAATCTTTGGAACACACATTTTATAAAACAATATGTTTTTCACTGAAAGAACAATATTTTTTCCACAAAAAGAACAATATTTTTGAACTTTTGAAAGCCTATCGTTTTTTTTACTAAGCAAACGATTTTATTGAACAAACAATTTTACTAAACGAACCATTTTACAATGGTTCAGCAAGAAAATCATCAAAACAGATGGAAAATGAACGATAATTTTAAGTACGAACGAAATAAAATCGTGTAACGATTGAAAAAAAGGTTGTTAACGAAAGATGAACAAACGAAATGAAAACAAGTCAAACGCGTCCATCTCTAGTTGCACTTTATCTTTCAGCTGGTAAAATTCTTAACTTTTTTTGCGGATCCAAATCTGCAGGCCTTTCTTTTTCATATATTTTAAAACAGTAGTATAAAATATCACGGATTTTTCTGTTCATTGGTAGATTTGAAAATTTATTTTTATCTTATTATATTCGAAATAGTCCCAATTAAAAGTTTAAAAAATGAAAGGAAATACATTTCTTATAAAATTTCTAATTGGACCAATTCATAATTTTGCTAAGAATATTTAAAAGAATAGTTTAACAAAATGTTCTTAAAAAGGATTAATTAAAGCATATTTTTAAGGACAATTTTATCTAATAAATGCACGCTATATAAATTAGAATTCAAATTTGTTGAGTACTTATCTAAAATGTAGTATTTGTAGATTTGAACATTGAAATGTGATAAAGATTAAATAATTAACGAGACTGAAGAAAATTGCTTTTGGCATTTAGTAGCAAATTATTTGAATTCTTCTCTTAACTCTCTTTACTTCTTTGAACGTGTAACGAAAGAACAGTTGCCACATGGGGTAATTATCATCCCTTGATACGGTTTAGCATTTGCTTATTTGCTTTAATATCGCCAAATTAATTGCCAAAATAAAATCGTTTTCTATTCCCATTTTAGTGCTATCGAAATCCGGTAATTTCCTAGAGAACGATCAGGCTGTACCTACAATAACCATATATACCTTAGTCACATTCTCCACCAACTTTTACCACACTCATAACTGTACCTTCTACCTTCTCTTATCCCCCCCTCCCTCTCCGCCCAGAGCTCTCTCCCATGGTCATCTCTTCCCTGCTGCAGTTCACCCTTATGAACATCAACTACGCCACCAGGAGCAGTATCATGTTAATCATGCCAGGACAGAACAATATAGAAAATCTGCTATTCTACATGTTCAGAGACTGCTGAACCAATAATTTATATAAATATTTATATTTTCAGTGAATGATAATCATTATTTGATTTTATCTTAATAAATCATTATTAATTTATTCATTTAAAAAATAAACGTTTATTCCCTATCCCTAGGTTAGGTATTAGTATACAGTTATCCAACTTACCAAACGAACATCTTGTTGTACACTGTAAGAGTGTACTGACGTACACTTGTACTCTAAGTTGCCATGCGCAGTAACAATTTGATTTCCAGACTGACCCAGCTGAATCAGCTCCAACCGAATACTGTCTGCTATAAATTCAACCTATAAAAAAAACAATTGTTAAGACCAAGGTACTAATGCAAGGAAAGTTAATTGCAGTCGCGTATACTCTGCGTACATATTGAAACCAGTTCTCTTTTGGCGGAATTTGTAAACATGCATCAGTGTTCGTCTAGTATCGGAGGAGGTTAAAAGCATTTAATTTTGATAATTTTGATAATTCACATAATAGTTTCCTACGACCAGAATATTTCATAGATTATTTTTGTGAAAATGGATTCCATGTCAGGCTCTGACATCCGTCTTGTGTTTACTATTCCGCCCAAAGACAGTACACGGCAGTACAAAAAATGCGTACACCTCTGAAATAACTTCTCTTGCATTAGTACCTTGGTTAAGACAGACTTCTAGGATAAAACGGAACCCACCATATCTTTTTCACATTAAAAGTGTACACAACAACGGTTTTGGAAGGAATGTAAATAAATCCAGCGCTGCAATTATGTTGTTTATCCTCTCAGAAACAACGGTTACAGCAGTACACTTTTATTGTAAAAATAATATATTTAAATTGCTTTGTGTTATTGTGTGCTTTCTTTAAATTTAGTTAACAAATTATTTTTGGTTACAAAGTTTTACCTTTAATTATAAAAAGAAGTAAATATAGATAACTTTTGGAAAATAGAGAAAAGCATTCACAATTCTAGAATTCGAAAATCCTACTATACGTGATATCTTGCTTGTAATAATTCTTTTAATCTCAGACCCTTAACATGAAACTTCAGAATCATTGATAAAATTGTTTTGTGAACTTTCACTATTCCTAACTATTTCGGATGATAGATTATGTGCAGTAAAAGTGAAGCAAATCTCAAATAAAGATGTCAGCATATTTTCAAACTGGGGAAAATTAATAATATACATAGATAACGAATTAATGTTTAACTTACGTTGAAAACAATTACAATGATTTCCAATATTAAAAGAATTAAAATTATCTTCATCTTGTTTTATCACAGATTTTTAAAAAAATTTTAAACCTTTTTTAGATCCAAATACAAAATATGCTCTGAGCTGAAAACTTTAGAATGGGACTCTAAAGTTTTCAGCTCTGGACTTTAGAGATGATTTAAAAGTTGAAAATTTCAAAATCCTTCTCAGCATTTCCAGTAAAAAGAAAGAACGAAAAAATTATTTTCTTTTTTTTAATTGGTTCCTTGTAGTTCGTTTAAACCCTAGTTGAACTAAACTAGGTTCCTTGTAGTTCGTTTAAACCCTAGTTAAACTAAACTAGGTTCCTTGTAGTTCGTTTAAATATAAAAGATATATATATATATAACTTCTCTTACTGAAACAAACATAAAGATAAACAAAAATGTTTTGAATTTTTAAATAAATCGGAAAAATTTGCTTTTCTCATCCTCGTGTGCAAAATCAGAGGAGCTAAGAGGTCACAAAGTCATACCAGTAATGTGAAGTAAATTTGAACTTATCCTGCTGTCTAGTTCAGAGTGTTATGTAGTAAAAAAAAATTATTAAAGTAAAATTTATGAATTGCCAATTAAACTCAGGTAAACAATTTTCAATTTTTGAATTTTTACAGAGATTGACTTTTTTGTCACTTACATTTTTGAGGCATCCGATATAGTTTGCTGTTGTGGCAATGTCAGGTAAACTGAGTGTCTTATGATGGTGTGACCGGCCAAACTTCTCTGGAACACCACCCAGGTATACCTTCAATATAATCAATATTATTATTAAAATTCTATTGAAAGATCTGGAAATTTAATCTCGATAAGATTTTCTATCATTGACAAACGATTCCTGGAATGGAAACTTATACATTTCCTTTCATAAATTCACAACTCTGGTTGTTACGCAAGGGAAATAACAGAAACTCCTATAAAATTAAATGTACTGCAGTTTTTGGGCACACGCTGCCCAGGCTTCCATAAACTGCAGTTTACATTATTTTATGAAAGTTATTCTTTGCTTTACGCATTTTTAGAACTAAATATCTTTAAAGTCTAATTTAATCCTCTGGAGAGGTATTATCAAATATGTATTTGTAGATGTTGCTTTATTACATCTTAAAACAAAGCAGTGAGTTAGGGTTCATAATTTTTTCTATTTTGTCAAGTAGAATATCACCAAACCTCACTAAAACTAATTTCTTTTGATCACAATTTTAAAACTTTTTTTAAATCTAAAATTACTTTCAAATCTAATTTATTTTTTTACTTTTCATCCTGATCATAAACTTACATGTGAGGAAGCAAGAAGATTATAGATTCCAGGACTAGTCCATCTCTCCTTATGGGTTTTATCTACCTCTAGAGTCACCTAGTAAGAAAATGACTCATTAAATCGTTTAAGGTTCAAAATAATTTGATGGCGTCATGTTTCATAATATCTAACTGATACAGAATATTTTGGTAAAATATAAAATAGGCAAGGTCTGAATTGGTCAAATTACTCACTAACTATCTACAAAACAACTTGTAGACTCTTCTCCTTTTGTAGTGGTGTGTGGTTAAAGGGACTGTAAAGGAAAAATGAAAGAGAGTATAGGATGAAACCTGAGAATCACAGACGTTAAACGATACATATAAAACAACTATCTGATGATCCTGTCTCTAGAATTTGATATAAAACTGTGTCAAATTTATACGAAAATTCATAAATATACAATTTTGTATGAAAGCTTTATAGTATTAAACAGATCATATTCAACAAATACACAACAAATTCATTGTCACGTGATACAGACGGAAATCACGTGACCAGTATACTGCCCTGCCATCGGCTGATTTTCTGGTGACGAATAATAACTATCATTGACTATATGTAATACTATTATCAATTATTTCTATTAAAAATGCAAAATAAAAAATTATAATAGAGGGAAACCTGAGATTCTCAGGCTCCTGTGGACATCGTCGTTTTCAGATTGGTTGCGTATTTGTTGAATACGATCTGTTTAATACTAAGCTTTCATACAAAATTGCATATATATGACACAGTTTTATATCAATTTCTCGAGACAGAAACGTCAGATAGATGTCTTATATGTATCGTTCAACGCCCGAGATTCTCAGGTTTCATTCTATAACCCCCTTTCATTTTTCCTTTACAGTCCCTTTAAAGCATCATGCACCATTTTACTTTGACGTAATGACATGTCTATTCGCAACGATACCCTTTAAACCTTTGTCTGATGCAGGATGATATAGAGATATCATTTGTTTTCTAGTTCAAAAAGTATTGCTTTTTACAACCACGAAACGTCATTCGTACTTTGGAGTTGATATTCGACTAGGAAAATAAGGATATCTCAGTCCTCGATGATCAGACATCAGACAGAGGTAAAAAAGGGCACCATAGCATGGATCGTACATGCCACTCATACATTAAGGTTCAGTTTAAAATTCTAATTTACGTCAAACAGAATTCACAGTGTTTGAAATATCAAAGCTCGGATTGTATTGCAGAGATATAAGGATTAAAAACCAGATTTTGTTGCAAGAACTCAGTTCCTTATCGTAAAAAACATTTTTGTATAAGATAAATATTTAAAACTATCAATTAGGTGCAATGGAAAAGGAAAGAAAGAGGTCGACAAATCTGATGAAAAGAATGATAGAATTGAACTGCTAGGCGCAGATCCATCAAGCCATCAAAGTTATTTTGTGCTTCTATACTCTGAAAACATAGAAGTGTGCAATGTGTGTCAGCATGCAAACAGAACAGTGAATAGTGCAATAACGAGGACAAATATAACTCATCACAAACTAAACCACAATTCATTCAAAAATATTGTCAATGGTAAAAGGAGGCAAGAACATGTGAGGAAGGGGGGAGCAGGAGGGGAGTAGGAGGGAAGCTGGGGAGGGATAAGGAGGAGCAGGAGTTGGAGGGGTGGTAAAGTCATGCTGGGAAAGGTTCTGATTTTTTTACTTTTGGATTAATTGAAAAAAAAACTTTTGGATATTATCAAATATTTGTTTTATTTGGGGAAAAAATAAAGATAGAATTAAGATTTCTATCCAAACAAAAGTATTTAAATTTTCACATTTGCTATCTCTATCTTCATTTTTTGTTTTGTTAAAAAGCGTATGTACTTACTTTGCAGGAATAGACTGTATTTGAAAGCTGTAAAAAAAGTAATTTCTCTTTAAAATTTATGTTTTTTGTGTGTTAATGTGTTTTAGTATTTTTAAAGTATCGTAGAAAGATGAATTGAGTATTTACCACCTGATTTTTTTTTGTATTTCATGCAAATTGTAGTATTTTCATGCTTTTCGCTAAAAGTTGATATTTTTCAAAAAGTATAAAAAACATTTAATTTGATAAAACTAACTACAGATTAATTAATTATAATTAATTAATTATAATTTTTACAAGTTTTGTAAATAATGTTGCTTGGTTTGATCTCAGAAATTAAAATGTTTTTCTTTGCTTTGATGTGGTTTACTTTTTTTAGTTTTTCTTAATTTTTTTATTTAAGGATAATTTGTTTGCATTTCTACAGTTTGCTTAGGTTCGATTTTGGGTTGGTTTTAAATGCCTGCTGCTTAGTTTTCCTTCAATTGTTTTCTATAATTTTATTTTGATTTATTTTAAAATAGTATTTGGTTTGGCCCGATTTGGTTTGAAATACTGTGGAAGGATTTAAAATACCAAGGTTTGGTCTTTTTCTGTTTATTTTGGTTCTGAAAACATTTGTTTTGTTTTAAGTAGTTTGTGTACTAAGATCTGTTTGGTTTGAATGTTTTGGTTTTTTTATGGTTGTAATCTGATTTTTTAAAGCTTGCTTTAGGATGGTTTAGCATGGTTTGGTATGGTTTGGTTTGGTTTGGTCGTATTGTATTAAATAAAAGGCCCTACAGTAAATCTAGATAAATTACGTTCTACTTTGTCTGTATAGCTAAATGTGCCCATTAGTAAATAAGTTAATCATGTATTGCGATTAACCCAATTAAAAACGCAGATATATATAACTCCGTCAAACCCATAATGTAATTGCTTAACTATGTTATATATCTAACAGCGCATAACTTGTAATTACGCTGTTAAGACCCAATTCTAATCTAACATGAAGAAATAAAGTAAGTTGCCTTAGACATAGTATTGGCATTCATCGATTAATTGCTAGTGTTCGTGTTGACATCGATAGCTAACGAGATCGCGCCCAGTGTTAGTAGCGTTGATAGTTCACGGGATTGTAGCCGTGTGGATCGTGTCCTGGTTGAGACATTGATCAACTAATTGCTAGAGTCTTTGGTGACATCGATAGCTGACGAGATCGCGCCCAGTCAAAGTGGCGTTGATAGTTCACAGGATAATAGCCGTGTGGATCATGTCCTGGTTGAGACATAGAATCATTAGCTTGCTAGTGTCCTTGTTTACATCAATAGCTAACGAGATCGCGCCCAGTGGTAGTGGCATTGCTAGTTCACGGGATTGTAGCCATGTTAAGACATTGATAGTCAAGGGAATCTGAGTTGTACCTGGATAGATATTTGTTCGAGAAACTGTTATGGAGTAGGGCCTTTACTAGAGTATTTGGTTTGGTTAAGCATGGTTTTGTTCGGTTGGATTTGTTTTAGCAGGGTTTGGTTGGATTTGGTTTGGTTTAGAATGGTTTGGCATGGTTTGGTTGGATTTGGTTTGGTTTAGAATGGTTTGGTATGGTTTGGTTTACCTTATTTGCTTTCCTGTGTATAATGACTGTGTGCCACTCGTTATCATCAAATCTTAATAAAAACAGTTTTATTATATTCACATAGTTGAATACTATTACTTTTTACACTTTACAGGGTGTATCAGAATATACAGATATACTGTTTACACTTTACAGGGTGTATCAGAATATACAGATATACTGTATACACTTTACAGGGTGTATTCGAATATACAGATATACTTTTTACACTTTACAGGGTGTATCAGAATATACAGATATACCGTTTACACTTTACAGGGTGTATCAGAATATACAGATATACTGTATACACTTTACAGGGTGTATCCGAATATACAGATATACTGTATACACTTTACAGGGTGTATCAGAACATTCAGATATACTGTATACACTTTACAGGGTGTATTAGAATATACAGATACAGGAAACTGTATCTTAATGATATAGTTTCCTACCTTTACTTTGGCTAAATAGCGTCAAGACTACATAGCTTAACTAATATAATGCCATACCAACGAAGAACCTTCAATGTTCTGCGTTGGTACAATCTGTGTATTTTTCATATAGTGTACATTGACTTTATATCAAGGTTTCATGAAAATTGTAAAGTGTTTGCGCAAACTGATTTCTACATAAATTGCTCAAATTATATGTAAACGATTCTTATATTAAAAATTTCTATTCAATCCGCATACCCTTTTATCGTCAATGACTTATTATATGCTTTTAATGTTCCACCACTTCATTGGTGCACTTCTCAATTTTTATGTTTTGCATAATCCAAGTATCCTTAATTCCAAATTTTCTATTTAAAAATGTATCCGTAAATTAACCCTTATATAAATCTCTCAAAAAAATGTAAACGAATTTGTTGTAAAGCTTTATTATTAATCACATGTAAACTATTTTGTACAATTTAAATACGGAGACAATAAATATCTAGATCTTAAAAAAAGAATATACAGATATACTGTTTACACTTTACAGGGTGTATCATAACATTCAGATATACTGTATACACTTTACAGGGTGTATCAGAATATACGGATGTACTGTTTACACTTTACAGGGTGTATCAGAATATACAGATATACTGTTTACACTTTACAGGGTGTATCCGAATATACAGATATACTGTTACACTTTACAGGGTGTATCAGAATATACAGATACACTGTTTACACTTTACAGGGTGTATCAGAATATACAGATATACTGTTTACACTTTACAGGGTGTATCAGTATATTCAGATATACTTTATACACTTTACAGGGTGTATCAGAATATACAGATATACTGTATACACTTTACAGGGTGTATCAGTATATTCAGGTATACTTTATACACTTTACAGGGTGAAGATATACTGTATACACTTTACAGGGTGTATCAGAATATACAGATATACTGTATACACTTTACAGGGTGTATTAGAAAATAAAGATAATATAGATCGATTTAGAACCTAACGTTGCCCGTCGTTTACCCGCGATTTAAAAATCAATCAAAAAAGCATGAGTTTTATGCTGGATAAGATATTTAAAATGAAAATTAGAGCGTTAACATGTTTTAGACTTAACAATTAAGTCCTGCATATCATAAGAAAGAAAGTTACTCTCTGAATATTAAATTAATCCGCTAAGCTTAATTCCTGCATTTTCTCTCCAAGGTATTAATTTGCATTAATTAGTTCTCCTCAATAAGGAGAATTTGAATGCTTCTGTACTTAAACATGAAAAGTTTTTTATGATTTGCATGAAATTTGGATTAAATCAATGCGACCAAAGGTATTCAGGTCCCAACTGGTACTTATAGCTCTACTGGAAATGAAATAAGTTAAGCCCCCCCATGGATAAATTTCTGTGTACGCCCCTGTCTATGTCACATTTTAGTCTAATATATTTAAACTAAAGTTTTTTTCTGTTATAATCTTAAAATGATTTCCTCGTAGAATAAGCTAAAGGTTAATCTCCTTTTTAACAATGTATTTACTCTCTGGGTTAAATATTTATTCTCTGACCTTTGTTTGCTGACTCCTGTTTTTAATCTCCCTGTTCCAATTCTTAGATCTAGTTTAATCTCTCCGTCCTTCATATACAGGGACATGTAATCTCCACTATACGCTGAAAAATTTAATTCCTTGTTACAAATAATAAAAACCTTTTGTGTTCAACTTACACATCTCTTAGTACAAAAATGTATTATATACAGAGCGTCCCATATCATATTAGATTATCTCCAATCTTTAACGCCAAAATACGCCCATAATACTCAAAAAATCTAGCATTTTCTGCAAAAAAAATAATTTCTGTTAGCCTTATTAAATTTTTCAAAATGATTCATTCTTCTTAAATTTTCTGATTTGTCCCTCAAATTGTAATTTGGACCCATTGACACGGTCTAATTTGATGTGGGACACCCTGTACATAGAGGTGTACATTATTTGCACCCCCCCCCTCCCCTAGAAAGGCTAAGAAGGGGTCAAAACTTTTAACACATAAAAAGTTGACATTTGGGGGGAAATGCCTGATATTGTCTAGAAGTATATGTTACAGTTATAGAATTGTTTTAATGAAAAAAGCGAAAATTTTGAAACGTTCTCTGCATGATACAGTCAGACCTTTTAACATGCAAAATAGGAAAACAAAACGTTATTATTGAGCAATAGTCGGCGGAAGGTGGAACCAAACCTACCAAATTATAAAGCAACACGTCTTATCATTAACTTGAAAACGTTATTATTAAGCAATAGTCGGTGGAAGGTTGAACCAAACCTACCAAATTATAAAGCAACACGTTTTATCATTAACTTGAAAACTAACTACTGAAGTGAAAAGTGCACAATTGCTGTGGCAGTGGACTTTTAAAAATCCTAACATAAGTCTAGATCCCAAAATATTGTTGTAAACAATGAGACCCAATAAAATGTGAGATTGGAAGAAAACTTTTTACTTAAGCAATCATTTTTAAAAGTCCATTAAATTTTAAGCACAGTCTGGTGGACTTAATAAGCTGATTTTATATCAACATAAACTGCTTATTTTAGAGTGTTTTTGTTCTCAATGTATAAACCTGAGAAGAACAATATTCCATCCTTGGTCTCCGTCTTGAAATGGAGCGTGATGTTGTCCTGGTGAGCTAGGAGGGGGGCGGAGAGGGGACCTGCTCTGGCCAGGTTCATAGCTAGGTATCCACTACCCCACACACTTAGCTCATCATCAGGCAAACCTTAATAATCAAACATTTGCGTTTTATCTAAATAAGTCGGGTGCGCGATTCTAAAGCGATATCGGGGCTGAAACAAAGGGGATGATAGTTTTCTACCTGCGTGCTCAGTTAGCTGTACTGTACACTTACAACATGTTTACTAATGTTGATTTACTATAGGTTAGGCCAGAATCTCCTTATAATAAACAAATATGCAGTACGCTCTAGGTATAGTTCATGTCCTATACAGTTAGTAAAGGATTAGTGTACATCATCACTCTATACGCTATAACATCGTTGGGCTGTAATCGTAACTTCAAGAGACCTTCCATAAAAAGATGTACATCCCTGATTCACAACGGCACCCTTTAAATATTTCCCTGGTCATCGAGGACAGAGATGTCAGTGTATATATATATTATATGATGTATGAAAAATCGAAAAATTAGGGACTAGTGTACGGCGTAAACTTAACCGGATGATGTCACACTTAGTCCTGGAAAATCTAGAATATTCTTATAAATAAATTCTAATGTAAATTTTATACAAACAATGGGATAATCATTACAAACGTATCTTGCAGATAAATTCCGAAAAGTCTCTTATTTAACCCTTTGAATTGGAAGTGATATTTGAATCAGCGTGATGTATATATTATATATGCCATTACACCAGTTAAGAAAACATTAAAAATAGCTTTTGGAAAACTCCACAAAAAGTAGGACTTGATATGTTCAAAATGTGTTAAACCCATTCGCCGTTAACTGTTGGAGCTAAACTTTTCAAAAATCTGTTTCAAGAACTGTACGTACCATTTACTTTACGGTATTTTCCCTTCTATATTATTATATATACCATCAAACCAGGACATTTTAATCAGCGTGATATATATATACCATCAAACCAGGACATTTTAATCAGCGTGATATATATATACCATCAAACCAGGACATTTTAATCAGCGTGATATATATATACCATCAAACCAGGACATTATAATCAGCGTGGTATATATATCTACCATTAAACTATGACATTTGAATCAGCGTGTTATTTATATATATTCCATTAAACCAGCACATCTGAATTAGTGTGATGTGTATATTATATATCCAATAAACCATGGAACATCGAATTGAGCGTGATATACAGGTATTGATACTATTAAACCAGTACATCTGAATCTGCGTGATATATATTTACTTGTATATGAAACTATATTACCGTGAGATATATAATAATAAAACTGATATATTATATATTAAAATAATGGATTTTTCTAATAAATTCTCTGGTTTCCTTAAATATATTCAAGCAATTTACATTTATTTTCATTTTGTGTATCGAATATTTAAAGTTAAAAATGTTCTAAGAGGAACTATAAGGCCTTGAGGTAAATATTCGCAAATCATATAATTTTTTTTTTTTTAAGTTATAAATAATGGTGAAATCCTGAACTGTCCACGAATTAATTCCACATATAATGTATGATGCTAACTTTTTTAAAAGAAGAAATATTAAACTTTCTGAAGTTGATCTACCTTTTTAAATTAAATCTTATTTTTGTAAAAAAAATAAGTAAAATATTATCACTGTGCAGCGGGGGTGCATCTTGTGCCTTATATTGACGTATCCAACAGAAATATTATCTTAATATGAGTTTTGATTTTGAAAAATTGGGAAATGTTTAAAATAATGATATTATGATAAAGATTTGAAGTCCAGACTCGTTTAGCTCTTTAAACAGAGTCAGGAACCGTCAAAAGAGCTTTAAACTAGTCAATATCTAAATAATTTAATAATTTAAACCACGTCTCAAATCCCCCCAAAACCGGATTTAATTGACCGCCCGCTTATATCTTGAAAAAATTTGATACAAATTTAAGTGGAACCAACCATATTTGAGAAGCGGCTTAAATTTAAACCGCGCCTCAAATTCTTTAAATTTGGCCTCTGGAATAATATAAATTGATTGATGACTGAAAAGTCGTCTTTGATTTATAAATTGTTTGCGGTATTCAATAAAGGTAACTTGATCTTCTAAAACGACCAGGAAATAACCATAATCCTGCTATTTTTTTGCTCTAAAATCTCCAAGAGTATTGAGAAATTTCCATTTATTAAATAAAACCATGAACGAAGTAATTCATATTTCCGGTAATCATGAAAGAATAAAAATGGCAGACCACATTTTAGAAATGGCAGGACTAGGGTGATTCTGTAATTATTATTTCTTTAAAAAAATTGCTACTAATCAGGTTACAAATGTTGAATGCCGCAAACTATTTCTAATATCAAAGTTGGCTTTAAATACTATGGTTTCAGTAGAAGTAAAAATTCCCATTAACTGATAGCGCCGATTTAAGGATTCATAACTCTAATTGGATAATGATATATATAGAAAGATAGATGCTACCGCCATACTATTTCTATTGGTTTAGAATAGACACTAAACACATTACTGAACCCCGATTGGATCATGCACTAATGGCCTCGGCATACAGGAGTGTGAAGGGAGTGTTAACTATATAAGAATGCGTCGAAAAATAATCGATAACTCTAGGTTGTAATGTCTGAATGATTTGTTTGTAATTAAATTGATTATTTTACGATACGAGTCGTATATTGCAACTTTCTGAATTTGTATGGACGCTACGTTCTTCAGTATAAGTCGTTTTTAACAATTTTCTACTTATTGACTCAACAACAGATAGAAGTAAGATTAGTAGCGATCAACAGCGCTTATTTTTCGCGAACACTCCCTTTAAAGTCGTTAATCAAGTTATCTCATTCCGGGTTATTTAGAATATCCTTGATGAGTTTTATTCAAACCATTTGTGCCCGTCTTTCATTGGTATAAACTTCGAAGATTGATCCAATGAAAATCAAAGAGACTTCAACATCGAAAATAAGAAATCAGGCAGAAAACTAAAACTTTTCATTATTTACACAAATCTTATACTTTTACATTTCTTAAGTTTAAAAGTCTTGAAGCTTAGCTTAATTTCCGTTAAAAATAATAATAAACTTCTAATATAAAAATATGAAGGAATTGTTTCTCACCTATTTCACAGAACTGTCCCTTGAATCTAATATTTCGACATTCACACTCAGCTCCACGGTCTGAAGACAAGCACACACCTGATCCGCAACTTTATTATTGTACAGCCCCCCCCCCCCCGGCACATTTCATTTTGTACACATGTCTAAAAAATTTCAATTTTCATCCTTTTCCCCTCCTTAATGGTGTAAAAATCCGTTTTTGTTTTTTATTTTAGTTCTTATAGTTTAAAGTTGAATTCCTGAATTTTTGCAGGGATTCATTTTTGAACAGTGATCCAATGTTGTCAATCTCACATCCTGAAATAAGAAAAAAAAAAATAATAAAATAATTATACAATTTTTCTGATAAATTGACCCCTGATAACTATTGAATTTAACGTAAGTTATAAAACTATTATTTACTAGTAAGGTTTCCAACGCAAGTGGGAGCCCATTTATTCCGCGCAATTCCGCACAATTCCGCGCAACGGAATTCCGATTGGAAACCATATATACCGTCGATCCCATCTGAATATGGTGTCATGTACATATTCACCAAATTGAACTTTATAGATATTTATTTATTGTTTTACCAAGATCTATTGTCATGATTATTATTATTATTAGATAGATAAATAAAGAGGATTAACCCTTTCTATATATTTCATTTTTAGAAACATAATTCTCTATCTACCCCCTCTCGCTTGAATAAAAACAAGGAAGCGAGGATTACTATGTATTTGGTCAAACCATTCTAAACCATTCTTAGAAAACAAAACAAGAGCAATGAGAGGATAATTACATTTAATATAGTAATCCAGTAATTAGTTTAGTACAGTGTACAATGTACAATGTACATGCTTTATAACTCCTTTAAAACAAGCGCGTTATAGTTTTGAAATATGCATGTCTACAAGTACATCTAAATACATTGTAAAATAAAAACAAAAAATGTTGTGGATTTTCAAAATTTTCAAAAACCAAATTTTGTTAGAAGCAAATTTTTTAATTTGATTATCCATAAACCTTCCCTGGGGTCACGCGAGGTCCCATAAAAAATTTGGGCCCGATCGGTTCAGCCGTTTTGACGTTTCTTGGATACAAAAAGACAAACAAACATATCGACATGCAAAGTATATATAGAGACACATTGGATCAAACATAAAAGCCGAAACACAACTAGTACCAGTCGATCTAAATTTCTATCTAAATTATGGTGCCTCTCTCTTTAAAGAATAAAAATGGTTTGTTTTTATGAGTCCCTGTGCAAACAAACGTTATATTTGTACAAGCTGATCTGCTAACATTTAACTTACACAGCTGTTTAGCCTCATATCTATATGAATTGTTAAAGGGGCTCATCTCAGGAAACTAAATTCCACTCAGTTAAACGGCAGTAATGCTCAAGTTAAGATCATTATACTCAGTCTCACAACAAAAGAGACATAGTTCAAATATCCAAAGAAAAGCAGAAAGTTGGGTATTTCTGAAAATTAAATTTGGTCGTAAAAACATCTTTATTTAAATACTCCCTCAGCTCCGGTCCCCACACTTCAATATATCACCACCCATCTTCATTCTAAATTGCATCCCTCTCCTTCATCCTCGCCCCTCAAGCACTTGAGGATGGATAAATTTGATGATTAAGCTCTGCCTACAAAGGAAGAAGATAACATAAAGAATAAAAACCATTTTCTTTTTATTAACATAAGAATATACAGTTTCTAAACCTTACACAGCAAATATAATATCATTGTCAGCAGTGTCTCCTAGATAGTTGGATATTTGGATAGTTGGATAGTTGGATAGTTGGATAGTTGGATAGTTGGATAGTTGGATAGTTATATAGTTGGATAGTTGGATAGTTGGATATTTGGATAGTTGGATAGTTATATAGTTGGATAGTTGGATAGTTGGATAGTTGGATAGTTGGATAGTTGGATAGTTGGATAGTTGGATAGTTGGATAGTTGGATAGTTGGATAGTTGGATAGTTGGATAGTTGGATAGTTGGATAGTTGGATAGTTGGATAGTTGGATAGTTGGATAGTTGGATAGTTGGATAGTTGGATAGTTGGATAGTTGGATAGTTGGATAGTTGGATAGTTGGATAGTTGGATAGTTGGATAGTTGGATAGTTGGATAGTTGGATAGTTGGATAGTTGGATAGTTGGATAGTTGGATAGTTGGATAGTTGGATAGTTGGATAGTTGGATAGTTGGATAGTTGGATAGTTGGATAGTTGGATAGTTGGATAGTTGGATAGTTGGATAGTTGGATAGTTGGATAGTTGGATAGTTGGATAGTTGGATAGTTGGATAGTTGGATAGTTGGATAGTTGGATAGTTGGATAGTTGGATAGTTGGATAGTTGGATAGTTGGATAGTTGGATAGTTGGATAGTTGGATAGTTGGATAGTTGGATAGTTGGATAGTTGGATAGTTGAATAGAAAATGAAGAAAGAAAAGGGGGGATTATTATGAATGAAAAATAATTATATGAATAATAATATTTTTAATAAATAGATATGTATTTAATGATATTACATATTATGTAGATATTACTACATATTGAATTCATAAGATAAATAAGATCATAAATAAAGGTAATCATATCAAGAAAATGTCGTCTTTTAAACAACTTTTTTAATAAAAAAGCAGTCAAAATTAAAAGAGTAATACAAACAATAGAGGTTTAGATTTTTTAACAACCCACCATTTCATTTGTTACACTAAAAACTAATAAATGTAAAAAATATGATTTACCTTGTATGCCATCATATCTTGATGCTTTGGTCTACCCCCCTCTGTATTCGAGTAGACGAGATTCCTCACCTCCCCCTCGAACCTAGGCTCGAACACGACCGAGGGCAAGGCTAGGGAGGCTAGCTTCGTGGTGTACCAGGGGGGCATACCCCCCAGGTACAGGTAGGAGTTGGTTGTATAGTTCCCTAGGTAGTAGTCAGTGCCCTAAAATTTCATTATTGAGGCACATATTTTTTGTTGAAAAAAAACTATAGAACATAATAAAAAACCTACTTTTCTATCATATTCTCCTTCTATAAATCCTATTCTCCTGTCCTACTCTCTATCATATTCTCCTACTTTCTATCCTATTCTGCTGTCCTACTCTCTATCCTATTCTCCTACTTTCTATCCTATTCTCCCACTTTCTATCCTATTCTTCTGGTTTCTAACCTATCCTATCCTATTCTCCTATTTTTTATCCTATTCTACTGCTGTCTAACCTATCCTATCCTATTATTCTACTTTCCATACTATTCTTCTTGTTTCTAACCTATTCTATCCTATCCTATTTTCCATCCTTGACAAAGGTTGAACTCAATATAAGACGATCTCCGAGTATAATTATCCCCCAAGGGATATTCCAGATTTTTCTTTTCCTTTTAATAAAATAGACACACACCCTCACTCCCCTAAACCAGGTTGGGCCAGGTTGGAAACCAAAATAATCTTTAAACCAGGTTGGAAACCAAAATAATCTCTAAACCAGGTTAGGCCAGGTTGGAAACCAAAATAATCTTTAAACCAGGTAGGAAACCAAAATAATCTCTAAACCAGGTTAGGCCAGGTTGGAAACCAAAATAATCTCTAAACCAGGTTAGGCCAGGTTGGAAACCAAAATAATCTTTGAACCAGGTTGGAAACCAAAAAAATCTCTAAATCAGGTTAGGCCAGGTTGGAAACCAAAATAATCTCTAAACCAGGTTAGGCCAGGTTGGAAACCAAAATAATCTCTAAACCAGGTTAGGCCAGGTTGGAAACCAAAATAATCTCTAAAACAGGTTAGGCCAGGTTGGAAACCAAAATAATCTCTAAACCAGGTTAAGCCAGGTTGGAAACCAAAATAATCTCTAAAGCAGGTTAGGCCAGGTTGGAAACCAAAATAATCTCTAAACCAGGTTAGGCCAGGTTGGAAACCAAAATAATCTCTAAACCAGGTTAGGCTAGGTTGGAAACCAAAATAATCTCTAAACTTCGGTAAAACAAAACCAAAATATATAAAGAATCATATCAAATGTTTAGTATTGTGGACATTTGGAAGAATTTTATTAATAAACAAACTTTGGGACCAGGGGGGTTACCAGTTTCTTCCAGATCAATTTGGATCAGTAAAGGTCTGACAACACATTTTCCTTAAGCACTTAAGACTGTAATACCAGAAAAAAACTTTTTGAAATTAATGGCAAAACCTTTCTTAACCAAATTAGAATAAATCTACCATCCAAGAGCTAGGTGTGCTGGGTTTACAAAATGATTTTATGGATCTATTTCACATGGAATAATCTATTTTCAGCATGTCCCACATAGCTCTGTAGATTTATTTTTAAAAACCGGTTTAGAAAGGTTCCGCCCTTCAATTCCAAAAGTTTCTAATAATTTATCATTTTTAACAGGTTCAGGAAAGGTTCCGTAAGGCATTTTTTGGAACCAAATTGATCAGGAAGAAATTGGAAACCCTATTACCCTATTTTGGCTTTTCCCGGAAATCAAGTTTTCCCTATAAAAGTCAATCTACTTAATTGAGTACATTTATATCAAGCTAAGATAATTTCCGTGGTGTACTAAATCTCCCAATTAAAGTTTGAGGCAAATCGGTCAAAGCAATATACAAGCAAACGGTAAGATGTTTATTTTTTGTCCCTAAACCTGTGTGGACCAAATAAACTGTCATATGACCGATGAATAGCTATATAGATAGGACGAGTATTAATAATAACAATGTTCTAGAAAACCATTAGAATATACATTAGTATACACTGTATAGTTATACTAGACATTCAACCCCTTCATCATATACACAGGATAGATAGGACACCATGGTAGATAGATAGGTAGTTGGATGATATACGAGTTTAATATTTAGCTAGCTGTTAAATATTTATATAAAGAAGTTATAATTGTAAAAGATATCTTGGTATAGTACAGATATTGATATAAAAGATAGCTTGATATAAGTACAAATAGCTAGATATATGTAAAAGATAGCTTGGTATATGTACAGATAGCTAGATATATGTAAAAGAATTGCTTGGTATAAGTACCGATAGCTAGATATATGTAAAACATAGCTTGGTATAAGTACAGATAGCTAGATATATATAAAACATAGCTTGGTATATGTACAGATAGCTAGATATATGTAAAACATAGCTTGGTATAAGTACAGATAGCTAGATATATGTAAAACATTGATATAGGTACAGATAGCTAGATTATTTTAAAGGATAGCTTAGTATAAGTACAGATAGCTAGATATATGTAAAACATAGCTTGGTATATGTACCGATAGCTAGATATATGTAAAAGATAGCTTGGTATAAGTACAGATAACTGGATATATGTAATACATAGCTTGATATAGGTACAGATAGCTAGATATATGTAAAAGATAGCTTGGTTATAGGTACAGATAGTTAGATATATGTAAAAGAATTGCTTGGTATAAGTACAGATAGCTAGATATATGTAATACATAGCTTGATATAGGTACAGATAGCTAGATATATGTAAAAGATAGCTTGGTATATGTACAGATAGCTAGATATATGTAAAACATAGCTTGGTATAAGTACCAATAGCTAGATATATGTAAAACATAGCTTGATATAGGTACAGATAGCTAGATATATGTAAAAGATAGCTTGGTATAGGTACAGATATAGAGATGTAAAAGATAGCTAGTAATCAGTACAGATATAGAGATGTAAAAGATAGCTAGTAATCAGTACATATATAGAGATGTAAAAGATAGCTAACAATCAGTACAGATATAGAGGTGTAAAAGATAGCTAGTAATCAGTACATATATAGAGATGTAAAAGATAGCTAACAATCAGAACAGATATAGAGGTGTAAAAGATAGCTAGTAATCAGTATAGATATAGAGATGTAAAAGATAGCTAACAATCAGTACAGATATAGAGATGTAAAAGATAGCTAGTAAGATATAGAGATGTAAAAGATAGCTAGTAATCAGTATAGATATAGAGATGTAAAAGATAGCTAGTAATCAGTACAGAGAAAGGATTAATTATAAATCCCTTGATTGCCTAGATATAAGATAAATACACAGTAAATAATCTGTGCTCTACTATAAAGGTCAGGAGCCACCCCCCCCCTCTTTTCCCCTACTGTTACCCCTTAGTCATCATAAAAAACGTTTATTTCAGAAACTTTTCTTAAGCCTATTTTTTTAATTACACGGTTAATGAGTAAAAATCTAGATGGTAAAAATAGTTTTGTTGTCGGATCTGAATAAAAAGATTTTTAAAGAACTATTTAAAAATTCCAAAACCAAATTACCTTAGTAACCTTGTTGACCGTCTGCTGGTCCAGGGTCAGGGATGTAAGGCTACCCAAGAAGGTCAACTCAATCTAGAAAAATTAGACTAATTAGTGTAAGGGGACTTTTAACCTAATTTCTTAATCCCTGTATATATATTCTATGTTGGATAGTCTGTATACTGTATAGTTATGTGAATGTCGTCTAATTGACAGATAATTCAATCCTTACACACACTAATCACTCATTTCTTTTCATTCTTTCCTCTTTATACCCTCATCCACATTCTTCCATTTTTCATTAGTATTTATACACGGAATAAAAATATATATTACATGTTGTATCTGTCACCCATTTTTCTTTTTCCTTTCTCTCGATATATTTATATATAAACCGTGTGTCCCAATATATAGATATATATTTATATATAAACCGTGTGTCCCAATATATAGGTATATATTTATATATAAACTGTGTGTCCCAATATATAGATATAAATTTCTATATAAACCGTGTGTACCGTGTACCAATATATAGATATATATTTATATATAAACCGTTTGTCCCAATATATAGATATATATTTACACATAAACCCCGTGTCCCAGTATACATGATATATTTATAGATAAACCGTGTGTCCCAGTAAACATGATATATTTATATATAAACCGTGTGTCCCAGTATACATGATATATTTCTATATAAACCGTGTGTCCCAGTAAACATGATATATTTATAGATAAACCGTGTGTCCCAGTATGCATGATATGTTTGTATATAAACCGTGTGTCCCAGTATACATGATATATTTCTATATAAACCGTGTGTCCCAGTATACCTGATATATTTATATATAAACCGTGTGTCTCAGTATACATGATATATTTATATATAAACCGCGTGTCCCAATATATAGATATATATTTATATATAAACCCCGTGTCCCAGTATACATGATATATTTATAGATAAACCGAGTGTCCCAGTATACATGATATATTTATATATAAACCGTGTGTCCCAGTTTACATTATATATTTATATATAAACCGTGTGTCCCAGTATACCTGATATGTTTATATATAAACCGTGTGTCCCACTATACATGATAGAAACTGATATGACGTCTGCTTAAGATAAGTTTAGTTTTGTGATACAAATCTCAAAAAAGCAGGATGTTACTAGAAGCTTGCAGGCACTGTAAAGTTTGGTTAATTTCAAGTATGAGGCCAACTTAAAACCAGATCAAGCTGGACAGTACAATTACAGACAAAGTCAGGCAAACTGGGACATTACACGGAATACCTTCTCATGAAATTAACGTGCAGTATATGTTGTGAATCCCGTGAAATTAATGTGCGGTATATGTTGTGAATCCCTTATAGTGAAATTAACGTGCAGTATATGTTGTGAATCCCTTCTAGTGAAATTAATGAGCAGCATATGTTGTGAATCCCTTCTAGTGAAATTAATGTGCATCATATTTTGTGAATCCCTTCTAGTAAAATTAATGAGCAGCATATGTTGTGAATCCCTTCTAGTGAAATTAATGAGCAGCATATGTTGTGAATCCCTTACAATTAAAGGTTCCTTAAAAGTAATTATACAATCCCTTTAAGTATCAAACTATAAAAGACTAGTTTGGAAACCCTGCTTTTCATGTAAAAGCCAATTTGTAGCAAAAATCGTGGAAACATGTAAACCTGCAGTACGTTGTACGTTATTAATGATTTAATGTTGTAAATTTAGACATAATGACATTATTCAATGAAACTGCCAAAAAAATTGTTTTTTAATGGTTCTTAAGGTTTTAATTGAACAGCGTATATTTAATACTGTAAAATATACAAAGAATAAAGGAACTATAGAGTATTTAAATAACTTTTCCTTAAAAATGCGAACTAAAAATTGCAAATTTTCTTATTACAATTTTGAAAAGGAATTGAATCCTTGCCACAAATTCTGATTTTCTAATCCCTTTATCTTTTGAACCCTATTTCAAACTTATATTATTTGATCTAACAGAAGTCATAGTTTGAAATATCAAATGTCTACAACATTGGACTGCAAAGATATAGGAATTCGAAAATCAGAGTTTGTGACAAAGACTCAATTCCTATTCTGTGATTCTACGATTCAATCTTTTTTTAAATTCTAGATTTCGATAGAAATGGGCCGTTGGAGTGCCAAAAACATTAACAAATTTTCAAAAAATATTTGAAAAACACCATACAGGAGAGTTGCACAAAAAAGGTACAATTTTGCTCCAGGCGCCACAAATCACACTTTTTTTAACTCACACTGTACTGTATA